CAGCGAAACAGCTGTCAGGAGGAATTTCAGTATCTACCTGCAACCCCTTCTTGGTTGGTGTGTGTAATGGCTACGGAGGGTAGCAGTGAGTCGGCTGTGAGAGCGCATGGAGGAGAGGAGAGAAAGAGTTCTTTACATTTTATTGGCCGAATAGTACCGTTCACCATTTGAAATTATTATTAAAATTATTATTATTATAGCTACAAAGACAACAATAGCACTCCAGGCGTTGGGGCTGGGGTGTCCTGTGGCCACAGCACTGGTGTGGGTGACGGCGCTACATGTAGTTCCGGAACTCGCGTTACCCACAGCCAGGTGGATGGTGTAGTTGTCAACGGCATTACATCTCAGGCTGCCAGTCAGGATGGTCCTGTACACAGCGCAACTAGGTCTGGCGCCGACCTTCACCCAAGCGTGGATTGGCGCGATCAACCCCCTGCCTGGTTGAGAAGAGTTTACCCAAGTGAGATTTCCACTCAACGTCGAACTCGCGCTGGAGCCGGGGATGCGTCTTTAGCAGCGGCACCATCATCTTCACCAGCCAACACAAAAAGCCAGGACATGCCACCGCTGGTTCCTACAGCGCCTCCAGTACACTTGGCGGTGAACCAGGACAATGCTGAGTCTAGTCCCGCTCAGGAGAGCGCCAACTCTCGATTTGCTCCTACTCCTGGAGATGAACAGGAGATACTACCAGTGCAGGGCATCGGGCGAGAGGATCAGGGACAACTGTCCATAACGTCGTGCTATGATGAGATCGTTCAGTGGCGGAAGCAGTTCTTTCGTATCCTGACGGGGTCCATTGGCAATGCTTTTGTCACTCTATTAGTTGCAGAGCTTCGATGGTTCACTGACTCTGCTGGCACTGACTGCATCGCTCTCTACCGGTTCTCCGTGCTTCCTTCCCTGATGTTGCAGTCCACCCGTAGCCATAGCAAACCAAAGGAGAATACTCTGCATTTGCAGCGGCGAATGGCATAGTGGCAAGCGGGGAATTTGACGTCATTAATGAGCGAAGGCCGCTGCATGCAAGACTTGCTGTTTCGGCCTCGTAAGGGAGGCCGCAAGCGAGGTGAGGAAGATGAGGCTCGCCACTTCTCCGACCTCATGTGCCAGGGCCGTGTGCATGATGCACTTAGATGCCTGGATCCAGTCAGACGTGGTGAAGTGGGTGGTGTGCTGAACATCAAAGATACCGTACCTCTCCGGGATGGTTCCTCTTTTCCTGTCAAAGAGGCATTACTGGACAAGCATCCGGAGGCTCGGCTACCACCTTCTGAAGCCATGCTGCCTGGGGATGCCCCCGGTGTTGAAGGCCTACGTCTCGATGGCCTCACTGCTGAGTTTCTGAAATCCGTGGCGATGCACTTGGAGGGATCTGCAGGTCCGTCTGGGATGGACTCAGCATGTTGGCGGCGGATGTGCTCCTCTTTTAAGGGGGCATCAACCAGTCTGTGCCAGGCTATTGCTGACCTCTCTCGTCTTCTTGCTACCCGTGTTCTTCCCGCTGAAGGCCTGGTGCCGTTACTGTCTTGCCGGCTGATCGCCCTTGACAAGCAGCCTGGCGTACGCCCTATTGGCGTGGGCGAGGTGCTTAGGCGGATAGTATTGAAGGCTATTCTGCGCATTGCTTCCACTGACATGGAGGCAGCCTGCGGACATCTTCAGAAATGCGCTGGATCACCAGGTGGCATTGAAGCAGCAGTGCATGCCATGAAAGACATCTACAACGAATCGTCCACTGAGGGAGTGCTGTTGGTGGATGCCAGTAACGCATTCAACAGCATAAACCGACAGGCAGCTCTGCATAACGTTCAGCGCCTCTGTCCAGCACTATCCACCATTCTTCTAAACCCCTATCAGTCGGAGGCACGTCTGTTTGTGGCTGGTGGCGGGGAGATTTCGTCAAAGGAGGGTACTACCCAGGGAGACCCGCTGTCCCTGGCATTTTATGCATTGGCCACACTCCCCATCATTCGGCATATGCAGCAGCAACACGACGCCGTTAAGCAGATTTGGTATGCAGATGACTCCAGTGGTGCTGGCAGGATGAGAGCGATTCGAGACTGGTGGACAACAATCCAGGAACACGGTCGCCTGTATGGATATTTCACCAATCCGGACAAAACCCTACTTCTAGTGAAGCCCGGATTGGAGGAGGAGGCTTCACATCTGTTTGAAGGCACCGGTGTCCGCATTGTCACCGGCAGCACTAAATATCTGGGCTCATACATCGGGGAGCCTGATGATGTTGCCAGCCAAGTGAGGGAGAGGGTTGATGATTGGTGCAAGGAGCTACGCACATAAGCAAAGTTTGCCAGCACAGAGCCTCACGCGGCTTATGCAGCTTTGACTCATGGCCTGCGAGGTCGTTGGGTCTACCTCTTTTGTACGGTTCCCATTCCGGAGGACGGAGTATCAGCGTTGGACAAGGTAATCGAAACTGAGTTCTTGCCGGCTGCAACTGGTCGAGATGCATTCACCACGGAGGATTTGGTGATGCTCAGGCTGCCGACTCGTTTCGGGGGAATGGCCATTCCACACTTTCACAGCATGAGCGGGACAGGGCGCGACACTTCCAGAGCAATGACAGCAGCCAAGGTTAGTGAAATTCTGCAACAGAACAACACATCATGGACCAAGCAAGCACCGGAACGTGTTCGGCAAGATGCTATGACAGCCAAGAAGGATTTTGCCAGACAACGCGGCACAGCAAGTGAGGCTGAGTTCCGCCAGCTGCGGCAGTCGGCGTCGGCGGATATGGCGCGTCGTTTGGAGCATTTGTCCTCCCGAGGTGTCTCTAGCTGGCTCAACACACTGCCTATCAGAGAACTTGGATATCATCTGTCGAAGGGAGATTCCAGGGATGCGGTGGCGTTGCGGTATGACTGGGCATTCGTTGATGTGCCTACTACCTGCTCTTGTGGCCAACCGTTTAGTCCGGCCCATGCCATGTATTGCCCTACTGGTGGTGTCCCCACCATTCGGCACAATGAAGTTCGCGATATTCTTGCCGACTTACTTACTGAAGTTTGCTCGGATGTCGCTGTCGAGCCTCAGCTTGCTCCGGTTTCGGGAGAGGTGTTTCTGGCAGCCTCAACTATCACCGCCAACGATGCTCGCGCTGATATCCGGGCTCGAGGGCTGTGGACCAGGGCACAGAATGCTGTCCTGGATGTCCGGGTTTTTCATCCCGATGCTCCGTCCTATGCCACCAAACCTCTCGACAAACTGTTGGCGGAGCATGAGAGGAAGAAGAAGCTGCAGTATGTTGAGCATATCATCAATGTGGACCGTGGGACATTTACTCCACTAGTTTTCACCACGGTCGGTTGTTGTGCGCCAGAGTGCTCCAGATTTGTTAAGCGCCTGTGTGGCCTCATTTGGAGTAAGGACACGAAGTTGTATGCCCAGACAATGACATATGTCCGGTGTCGACTTGCGTTTGCATTATTGCGGTCGGCGATCATGTGCATCCGCGGTGCTCCATCGTCATATCACCGTCCTGTGAATGCATTGCGAGAGTTGGCAATCTCGGAGGGCCGGCTGTGAGGTTTTGGAGACGATGGTGGGCAGAACAGTGCCCTTGTATTTTCCTGTTTTTTGGGGCTTTTTTGGGGTTGTTTTGGTGTTTTTTGTTTGTTTTTTTGTTTCTCGTTTTTTGCGTTTTTTCACACATACCATTGTAGAAAGGAAAAGGACATATGGAAACGAGTTAAGAGTAACTCTCCACCACTGTAACTAGATACTATATTATACAGTCAGAAAGTGCAACAACTAGGCACAAAACTGACAGAGTACTGAGACATTCGACGTCCTGACACCTAGCTTCAACACATCTCCGTAGCGCTAACCGACAGCCTTCCAACTTGGAAGGTTCAAGGTTATGGGAAGACCAAAGAGGGGAAGGCAAGCGCAACGAAAACGAGCAAAAGCCACAGTCCCAACGGAACAAAGAATGTCGATTGTCACTGGACGATGACGAGACCAGTAGGCGATTTGACTGACTGTATAAAGTATCAAGTTACAGTGGTGGAGAGTTACTCTTAACTCGTTTCCATATGTTCTTTTCCTTTCTACTTTTATTATTGGCTCAATACCCGAGTTTCAAACATACAATTGTTTTCATTTTTTGGTGTTGTGTTCTAATCATTCGCCATGCCACTGTCAATTGTATTCTGTTTGCCCGTAAAAAGAGGCCTTTACTAGCTACAAAGACAACTAATTGCACAGTAAGCATTTCATATATGTCGACATGTATGTGTAAAATGTTGTACGATTATCGCAAGGCACACAAGGAAGGGAAAGCGAGGATTCGTTCAGAACTCTTTTCTTGTTACAATCATCAGTGAATCTACGTAACAATGGAATGGGAACTACTTGAACTAATCTTATATGGACAAATAAAAGTGAACGAAGGTGAAAAAGAGCGAAACAAAAGGTGATAATACTACATCTATTCAGTGGGGGGCAAGCTCAGCAGGGAAGAACAATGCATATGTGAAACGGTGCAAGTCCTCGGCACTCCGCAGCTGTCCATTGTCCGTCTGGGACAGATCGGTGTGGAGCTTTATTGGCAGTGTCACCCTCGGCCTCCCAAGGTACCTCCCCTCGGGTGCCTGAAAGTATCGTTCCATGCTCAATCGTGCTGGCGTGTCCTTACCCAGGCAAAGCACATGCCCGAATAGGCTCCAGCGTGAATTTCGGATCCAAAACATTATAGCTACGTGTTTTTCCAAATTGTGCTAGGTTGCAGTTTTTGTGGCTGCGTAAGGTGGAGCAGTCTCCACGACTCATGACTTTGCGAAAGAAAAAATTGTACTACAGAGCAAACATTTTAGCTTGCAGAAGGAGGCGCTGTTTGGCAAATTTGCCATCATTGGGTGCATAACTCAGATGGTGACAATGGCAACAATGATTAACCAAGATATTGCCGTGTTTCAACGTGCAACAGTTACCACATCATTGACTGCTGGCTGCTTTTTTTTGTCTTTCTGTAGATATTGACGAATGTGTTCGTGGGAATCATGCATGTCATTACAATGCCATGTGTAATGATACGGTTGGCAACTTCACATGCACTTGCAACGCTGGTTACTATGGAGACGGCGGACAATGTACAGGTATGCCGCTCACTGACAATGTGTGTTGGTCAAGCGGTATGTATGTCGCCCCAACTGTTCCTCTGTCTAGTTGTTTATCCCTCTCATGAAGTGCCTTTGCAGCATCGGATGATTCACTCTATTGGACCTCTGAAACAGAAAGGCTCCAGGCTGTACAGACAGACCTACCCACAAAAGGAAGGAAATGATTACTGTGTGTTATCTTCGAGTTTCACCCCCAAGCAATCATCAGAAAACAGTAAAAGCTAAAATCTGGCCCCCGCTTTTGTTGGGTCTTACCTCCGGAAAGCACTGCCCCCATCGGAAACCCAGTGAGAACCCAACATACCCATACAAACAAGCCATAAGATACACGAAAAGTTACCCAGAACTTCCCTGGACCGATGAGTAGGAGACCTATTGCTACAAGAGCCATCGACTGACTAAAGGTATTTTTTAACAGTCAAGCTTGCACATTCCCACTTCCTTGCCGTGGGATGTTTCAATGCTCATGGTCAGTTTGGTGCTAGATTGTGCAAGTCTGACTGTTCAAAATATGGTTCGGTTCGTGGACTGGATCCCATAACTTGTGCGCACATTTTTCCATGTCACAACTCACCACTCGATTTCTATTTTCGCCGCCTACGATATCAAATGAGATCGAAACAGGTAGCTGTCCACAGATTGAGTATGAATATGTTGGACTCAGTAGAGCGTCCAGCCCCTATATGATGTCCAACCCCTATATAGAGTCCATTGGTCCAAAATCCACAGTACAGAGTCCAAAATTGGAATCAACTGTGAGCTCAGTTTAGATGGACATCACTCCCTGTATAGAGTCCAGCCAAATGGCTTCACCCCTATATAGAGTCCATTGGTCCAAAATCAACTGTACGGAGTCCAAATTTTGAAATCAACTATAAAGATTAAAGAGTCTTTATGTGGACAACACTCCCTGTATAAAGTCCAGCCAATTAGGCATACCCTATCGAGTTCGAAATTAGACATAGGATCTGCTGTAAGCAGTGAATATTAACCAGAAAACGGCCTCTCCCTTATCCTTTACATCATTCACTTCTCAAGATAAAAAATATGTATTGAGGCGCCACTGCAGCCACTTCACTACATGAAAAACCCTACAAACACCATCCTCAAATCAAGTGGTCTCTACGCAGACGCTGCAAATTACAATATCTCAATCATGCAGTGTTGCCAAATTATTGTGCACGCACACACACACATGTTCACACCCACACAACGCCAAGAAAATACCTAGAAAAAAACAAGAATCGAAAGAGAATAATGTAGAGCCCAGGATCAATTATTTGTTTTCAAACTATTGCGCGCACACACACACACACACACACACACACACACACACACACACACACACACACACACACACACACACACACACAAACTTATAGAACGCCAAGAAAACACCAATAAAAGAGTAGAGACACAATACACACGCAACTCCAACAGCCATGCAAACGTCCACCCATTTACACGTAAAGTCAAGAGGGATAACAAATAATTATACGAAACGAATGCTTACGGGGACGGGTACACGCACGTTTACATACACATAGTTGTGTAAGAGAGTAACATGGTGCAGTGGTCAGCATAATACTAGCACATGCTGAGAGTGCAATAGAAAGATTCACCATTGCTCATGGCCATGCAAATGTTCAGCAGCACTCAGTTCCGCAAGCTTTTGAAGATCAGCACACCTGCAACAAATAGATAGCACAAGGATACGCTTATTACCGTAATGATGCATGGGAGCACACAACTACCAAGTTCTCAACGAATGTGATGCTCAATGAAAATCAATCCACTCAAAGACCTGTGAACAGGTGACGGTGGGGACAATAATCTATTAGTAATACAAGGAATAAGATCGTTTGTGCACACTCAAGACCCACAGACACACCGACATACATGTAGTGTACACAGTGTTTCACTGCAACTAAATTGAAATGAGATGATTTGAACAATCTGTAAAGCGTTGCTGTCAGTCAGTCTTCCCCAAGATGGAAATGCAATGATTTGTTGTCACGAGGCAGTTTCACTGACACAATGTCATGTTCGTGACATCAAAACGGTTACTTCAGGGAATACGAGTATTAGCTTGAAGCTTTTTCTTGTCATTGGCATACAAGCAATCCTCCTACTACTACTAGTACACTGGCACTGCGTTTGTGGATCCCATTGTATTTGACATCATACTATAATTTGTAGAGGAAGAGTGTCGTGGAGTTTCACATAATTTTCACAGGGATAAAAATACATTTCTCATGAAATAATTATAATAATTGATGATAGCTAGACGATCGTATACGATTGATGCAAAGTCCTTGCAGTCCTTGAGGTCTATTACGAAGTGGTTGATTACTTTTAGGGCATTCATTCAAGCAACATCAAACAAACACGATACGCTCCTTGAAAATGGAAACAAATTCAAGCATAACGACAGAACAGCAGACCAATCGAAACGAGTAAAAGCTTCCTTACCTCAGTCATCGTCCTGTCATGTAGTTGGACAGCCTTTTGACACGGTGGTACAGGCAGCTCTTGTCCAGTCAAACAGGGGTATCCTTGTGGCGTCGAACGAAAGAGAGTGTCAGTGTATCTGACTCGTCAGGTTGGAACTGTGCAGAACTTTTCTCTTTCTCCGCTTTCTGCTTTCATCCCTCGCTCTGATGAAACCGTTCAAACGTCTTACTGGCAGCAATGGCCAGCCAAACAGGGGATCCTTGTGGCGTCGAACGAAAGAGAGTGTCAGTGTACCTGACTCGTTAGATTTGAACTGTGCTGAATGTGGTAGTAGATACTATGTAGGTGTCACCTTTAGTACCCTGGTGTTAGTTATGTCACAATATGTACCTCGCACCTATTTACCTTATATTCGGTCTCTCTAGTATGTAACAGCAGTTCAGTCTTCAGGACAACATTGGCGCAGTGAACAAGCAGGACTCAAGATGGCAAGTTCTCTCGGCAGAGCCCCAAGTTCCTTTCAAGTCTCTGAGGACACGAACCAAGCTGAGGAATTCGCCTTGTGGTTGGAAGACTTCGAAGCCTACCTTGACCTACAGAAGATCGACGCAGCCGCGCAGAAGAGGAAACTGCTGCTGAATATTGGCGGAATCGACCTCCGGCGGATCACCAAAGGCTTGGTTGTGACCACAGCTGAGGCAGAAGGGGATGTCCCACCTGACACGTACACTCCTCTGAAAACGGCCTTGGAGAAGTATTTCAAGCCTTCCATCAACCTGACAGCAGAACGGCACAGGTTTAGAGGTCGGAAGCAGAGGAATGGGGAGACTGTGACAGCCTATTTGTCGGCCCTTCGGGCTATGGCACACCAATGCAGCTTCGACAGCACCGATGTGGACACAATCGTGAATGGAGTCATCAGAGACCAGTTCATTGAAGGACTGCAGTCATCAGCTATAAGACGAGAACTCCTAGCGACCGCAGATCTGACGCTAACTGCGGCATCAGCAAAGGCAGTAGGAATGGAAGCATCTATACTGGACTCGCTACTGTACGAGCAGCCAGTAGCACCGACTCCGCAGCCGCTATCATCATCATCGACACCAATGGTAAACAGAGTCATGTCAGGAGAGGAGTCCAGGAAAGTGGCAGGAGCCTCGGCACAACCTCCTCGACATAAAAGGCGGAAAGGAGCGTGCAAGTATTGTGGGGGAGAACATACCCCGGGAAGATCCTTTTGCCCGGCAGGCCGGACTAGATGCCGGCACTGTGGGATAGTGGGCCACTTTCCTCAGGTCTGCCTCCGGAAAGACAGACTCAGCAATAAAATAGAGGAAGATACATTGGTGGTCGAAGACGAATTCGAAGAGGCTTATACCATGGAGCCTGCGGCAACGCTACGCGCAGCTCATGATCCCCGCTATTGGGTCGTGGACCCAAACGCCGTGCCTGTGGCGTCTGCCTGCCGACGACATGCTTTCAGCATCCGCGAGGAGGTCAAGGCAGAACTAAGTCGAATGTTGGAGGCTGGAATTATCGAACCAGTGAAAGAGGCGACTCCATGGATCTCACCGATAGTTCCTAGCCGCAAATCTAACGGCAAGCTTCGCTTGTGTATAGATTACAGGAAGTTGAACCAAAACATCATTCGGGAGAAGAGAGCCATGCCTACCGCTGAGGAAATAACAGCCCAAATCCACGGTGCAACGATTTTCTCGGTCTTGGACGCAGAGTCTGGATTCCACCAAATCCCGCTGTCATCCAGCTCACAGCCGTACACAACTTTCACGACGGAGGAAGGTTTGTTCCGATTCAAGCGGTTACCCTTCGGCATCTCATGCGCCCCGGAAATCTTCCAAAGGGTCATGTCTGACCTGCTCGCTGGTATCCCAGGAGTCTTCGTGTACGTAGATGATGTACTGGTCACCGGTGACAGCATCAAGCAACACGATGAACGACTGCAGCGAGTCCTAGAGCGACTACAAACGGCACAGCTGAAATTGAACAACGACAAATGTCAGTGGAAGCAAAGTGAGGTTAGATACCTTGGCAGCATACTGAACGCCCAGGGCGTCAATCCTGACCCAGACAAAGTGAAGGCAATCCTAGACATGCCTCTGCCAGAATCTCAGTCGGATGTACGGCGATTCCTTGGTATGCTAACATACCTCGGAAAATTCATCCCTGGATTAGCGGACGCAACGGCACCGGTCAGGACATTGGCAAAACGCGAGCCATTCGTCGCAGACAACTCGCTCTGGATGGAGTTCAACACACTCAAAGAGGAGGCCGCGTCTAGATTGTTACGTCTGTCGTTCTTCGACGTCACGCCAACCAGGGAGACGGCCATTAGTGTGGATGCATCTCCATGTGGCCTGGGAGCTATACTGTGGCAGAAGGACAATCATGGCCGCTTTCAACCCGTGTCATGCGCTAGCAAAGCTCTCAAGGATCCCGAGACACGGTATTCGCAGCTTGAGAGAGAGATGCTGGCTGTGGTTTTCGGCTTGGTAAAATTCCGCCAATTCGTACTGGGGCGACAAGTGATCGTATTCACTGACCACAAGCCTCTGGTGGCAATCGTAAAAAAGGAATTCGATCAGGTGCCAGCCCGATTGCAGCGATGGCTGCTGGCAATCCTCCCATACGACTTTCAGTTGACCTATACGCCAGGAACGTCAATGATTTGTACTGACGCGCTATCGAGAGCCCCCTCCCAAGCAGTGGAAGCCAGTCCGGCAGAGGCCAGGTCAATGAAGGAGTATGTTGGCTTAATCCTGGGGGAAGCTCCAATCTCTTGCGAAGATGTCCGGCTAGCCACAGACACTGATGGTCAGCTAAGTCGAGTCAGGAACAGAGTGTTACAAGGCAAGTGGAATACATGCGACGGCAGCGACGAGGTATACTTTCGAATAAGGGACTCGTTGTCAGTGGTTGATGACATCGTCATGCATAACAATCGCATCGTCATACCCGATACCTTGTATGACCAAGTCCTCCGTATCGCACACGAAGGCCATCCAGGACTCGACACGTTTCTGGACACGTAGCGACAAAGTGTATGGTGGCCGTCCATGAGCAAAGATGCCTCAGAATTCGCTAGGACATGCTCGACATGCTGGAAGAGGCAGCGGAATCCTCCACAACCCCTCCAACCGTCAGAAATCCTACCAGTCTGGTATCGGGTGGCGGTGGACCTCGTGGAGATCGAGGATCATCACTTCTTGTCGGTCATCGACTACGGATCCCGATATCCCGAGTTGCTCTTGCTATCCAGCACCACGTCGAGAGTCATAATACAAGCATTGTCGGAAGTATTCGCAAGACATGGTCTACCGGTGGAGCTAGTTAGCGACAATGGGCCACAGCTGGTGTCGGACGAAACAGAAACTTTTCTCCGGAAAGCAGGAGTCAAGCATATCAAGTCGAGCCCGCGGTATCCATGCTCCAACGGAATGGTGGAGAGATTCCATGGCGTCGTGCGCAGGCGATTGAGTGGGATACCTTCATCACTACCTCTGAGACAGCGACTCCAGCAAGCGCTATTCGGCATTCGTACATCCGTGAATCGGATGATTGGGACATCACCAGGAGAAGCATTCTTTGGACGGGCCCTTCGAGGACGATTGCCGAATCTAGCTAACGGTCAAATCATCAACCGGGAGAAGCAAATTGACCAAAAAATGCGAATGGCCCATCAACACGATCAGAAGAGAGGCGTGCGGGAGCTCCCTGCTCTCGAGCCAGGCAGTAAAGTGGTACTGCAAGACGGATATAGTCAACCGGCCAAGGAATGGTGTGTCGTACGACAGGAAGGCCGTCAAGTGGTGGTGGAAGACGGTGTGCGCACGGCCATAAGAAACCGCCGGCAAGTCAGGGAGACTATCCCGCCATCAGCAACTGAGGCGACCACCGAGCGGAGCCGTAGCCCTGGGTCTGACAAAGATGCTGCAGGCACAACGGAAGAAGAAGCCCGAGCCGACAACAACCAGCCACAGCTGCCTCGACGTTCTAGCAGAGTGAGCATGCCTGTGGAGCGGCTGGGATACGATTGAAACAATTTTACTATAATAGCATGGCATCCTTAGTAGCCGGAGTAGTGACAATAGCAGCATTCATTCTATCAAAGTTATGAGCAAGAATAGACAGCAGTAATATCTTCTCGTTGCTAGAGTGTTTGGGTTGATCATTCGTTTCAACTTCTTGTTGCTAAAGTGTTGGGTTAATCATTCGATTCAGCAAGATATATGATCATTCGAAATTGATTTACTCGGTTTTTTGCCCATTTCATTCGGTTGCTAGCTTTTTACTAAAGCATTGGAGTAATGTGGTAGTAGATACTATGTAGGTGTCACCTTTAGTACCCTGGTGTTAGTTATGTCACAATATGTACCTCGCACCTATTTACCTTATATTCGGTCTCTCTAGTATGTAACAGCAGTTCAGTCTTCAGGACAACACTGAACTTTTCTCGTTCTGCAATTTCTGCTTTCATCCCGCGCACTGATGAAACGTCTTCAGAGAACCACAAGACGCTTTCCAGATTTGATTTTGAACGTCTCCTTATCCTCCTTGGTTACCTCAAGACAGATTACTGTCAGCAACTGCACAGCAGAACTGGGAGCCATGGCTAAAGTGGAGAAAGGAATGCGCTGCCACGAGGCAAGCAAAACTGAAAATGTGTTTGTTCTCTTTCGGGCACAACACACAGGACGGCGTGACTGGATAAACTGGACTCCTGGACTGTGAATAGGGGACTTGTAGAAAAAGTGTACTCCTTATAGGGGATTGCGCGGCAGGATGAAGCTGATCAAAACTGAGTGGACTCCTGGACTCTGTATAGTGGATTTTGGACCAATGGACTCTATATAGGGTGCTGGACATCATATAGTGCTTGGACTCTATACTGAGTCCTACATATATATAACGTTGTACATTATACCAAGGATAGAAAAAACAAGAGTGTGCAACTCCGGATCTTTTTTGCACAATCTGCAGATACCCCCGCCCGCGGCGGAATTTTTGGTTGACGTCACCTTTTTTTCAGAAAAATGCGCATTTTGCAGCAGAACAGTGTGAGAGCACGTGCTGGGCACCGACCTTGTAATGTACAGCCCGGCCAAGTCCACGAGGCAAAACCTTCCATAAGACACGCAGCGCGTGCATCGTAGAAAAGATTACGTCAACAAATAATTCCGCCGCGGGCCAACCCATCCCGGAGTTGCACACTTTTGTTTATCTTCTCTTGATTATACACATTGTCCTCTAGTAGTACCTGACATACATACCTGTGTTTCTTTCTTTTTCTTGTCCATGCTCCTCTTCTCAACCATGAAGTCGTTACAAGTGATTCACCCGGGATGCCCAGGAGCGGCTCACTACTCCTTCCCACCATTTGTATCACCATGGTTACATTTACCCTGGCAATGATGACACTGATCGTGTGATTAATGGCAGGCATAATAATTTTGTTGGCGTCTCTGATTTCAATTTGAATTGCAAGCATGATTTTCGCCACATTTCTCGTTACTATTAATTATCCACAAAGTATGTTATTTATGGAGAGTTTGTTTGTTGTGTGTGTTTTCCCAAAAAGATTGCATTTCTTAGCCTGTAGGCACCGACAGCTTTCGGTGTAATGACAGTCTCCCTCTCACATGTTTGTGTAGGAATAGTTTGTGATTGAAGCTTGGAAGAGATTAGCTGGTTTCCATCAAGTTTAATCCTGGAAGTAATTGTATGGCTGTGCTTGCATGTGTGTATGAGTGTGCGTGTATGCTGACCCTCTTTCGCCTGGGTGTAGAGGTCTTGCAAACCCTCGCCCAGAGTCTTTTCACTCGCGTGCACCAGCGGCTCGAAAGGTTGTTCTGTCTCTGGGAACGTGGAACGTCAGGACTCTTGTCGACACTGACGGAAATTTGAATACGGCGTCCAAAGCAAAAAATCAAGGAAAGTTTGTTCGAATATTCGCGAGGAGAGAAAAATTGACCTTGTGTGTCGTCAGCTCGAAAAGTATGGAATGGACATCGTTGGCCTCCAGGAGACGCTTTGGTTTGGCTCTCATCAATATACTGTCGGAGATTGCTTAGTTTTGACAAGTGGTCGCCCAACACCGACTGGGGATGAGCTCGCACGGCATCGTTGTACATCGCGGCGTTCAATAGCAATTATAACCCGTGGGAATGCGCCGTCACGTCGGTCGTCGGGTCCTGGTGCCGCTTCCCGGAGACAGCGCTAATCCAAGAGCTGACCCGTATGGGGCCACTTAGCCAGTCATGGCAGTGGAGAAGAAGGAAGAAGGAAGGAAGGCGTGTATGTGAGTGTGTGAAATGTATCTGTGTGTTTATCCATGCTAGTGTGTGTGGGGGGGGGGGGAGGATGAGGGGTGTATGTTGGTGTGGGTGATCTTGTGTGTGTCTGTGTGTGTCTATGTTTCATACACGGTCAGCCCGGAGCCAGGTCTGGGAACTGTGCTAGACAGCCTGGAACCAGGTCTGGGAACTGTGGTATTCAGCCCGGAGCCAGGTCTGGGAACTGTGCTAGACAGCCTGGAGCCAAGTCTGGGAACTGTGCTAGACAGCCCGGAGCCAGGTCTGGGAACTGTGCTAGACAGCCCGGAGCCAGGTCTGGGAACTGTGGTAGACAGCCCGGAGCCAGGTCTGGGAACTGTGCTAGACAGCCCGAAACAGGTCTGGGAACTGTGCTAGACAGCCCGGAGCCAGGTCTGGGAACTGTGCTAGACAGCCCAGAGCCAGGTCTGGGAACTGTGCTAGACAGCCCGGAGCCAGGTCTGGGAACTGTGCTAGACATGAACTACTGTAAAGTGAGAAACTTTCGCTACAGATTAAATTTCGCTATTTTCGCGACCACCACACATTCGCGAATATAAAACCTCTCCGTGCATTGATTGTAGACAGTACAAGGTACAACTGAAGAGATAGAATAGCAAAAGTTTCTCATCGTGAATCAGTCCAAATTATGAAAACGCTAAATTTGCGCGCCGCGAAAGTTTGTTGCTTTACAGGAAGTAATTGAATTTACAAATCCCGCTATGCAGTGGTGGTCACTGGGAAATCCCGCTATGCAGTAGTGGTCACTGGGAGATCCCGCTATGCAGTGGTGGTCACTGGGAGAGAACCCAGCAACGGAATTACCATTACGCACGCACCCACACACACACATGCCTAGGCACACTCTAAGACACACTCAGGCATATACAGACACATGCACAACCACCAGCGTTCACGTTTACTCGCATGTTCCAAGGAGATAGCGCACTACTCAAAGTCCGACCAAAACACGATAATAATGAGGGGATGCAAGAAAGACAAAAGCCAAAGCTTTTTCCGGGAGGGCATGAGGCAACAAGAGTTATCACGTTGCTCCATAACTTATAAAATTCCAAGTTATAAGGCGGCTAGTTTGCGCATTCACGACGTGATGCAGCTGAATAAGGGTTCGGTGCATGTCAGTTTCACATCATTCATTTTTGTTCTTATTTATGCACTCTCCGACTTGAGATTATCCGGCCTTTAATCGTTAGTGTTGGACAAACCGGTTATTAGACACCCTTAGCAAACAACGTTATGTTGTAACGGTATTATCGTAAGGGGGAAAATACCGTGATTTGGGTTCGACCTTTAGCAAGATGCACGCTATTTTTAGTACGCTGTTGCCACGAGAGTAGCTTTGATTTCGCGCGGTACAACCATTTTTGTCACCATATACGCGATACAAGGTGAAATGCGTACGGACTATGCAATATTTGGCCAAAACACGTACCGTTGGTCACAACGATAAATCAGCCCCCATAACGTTTATACGCTGCAGCTTCAACGCTATTTGGGTGATCAAGGTACGAGTACCGTAAAAAATAGCGTTACTGTTGTTTGCTAAGGGTGTCTATTGTAAAACATGTACTTTTAGGTGCATTAAAATTTCCGTACAAGGGATCTGCCAGGTTTCAGGTGTCATCCAGAATTAGATGATCAGTGTTCCCTTCACACACACACACACACACACACACACACACACACACACACACACACACACACACACACACACACACACACACACACACACACACACACACACACACACACACACACACACACACACACACACACACACACACACACACACACACACACACACACACACACACACACACACACACACACACACACACACACACACACACACACACACACACACACACACACACACACACACACACACACACACACACACACACACACACACACACACACACACACACACACACACACACACACACACACACACACACACACACACACACACACACACACACACACACACACACACACACACACACACACACACACACACACACACACACACACACACACACACACACACACACACACACACACACACACACACACACACACACACACACACACACACACACACACACACACACACACACACACACACACACACACACACACACACACACACACACACACACACACACACACACACACACACACACACACACACACACACAGTGCACATTCTAGTGCCGGTAGGTGTACTTTTAATGTAGGTGCTTGGTTTACCGAAATGCTTGGTTTCTCTACCGAAATGCTTGGTTTCTCTACCGAAATGCTTGGTTTCTCTACCGAAATGCTTGGTTTCTCTACCGAAATGCTTGGTTTCTCTACCGAAATGCTTGGTTTCTCTACCGAAATGCTTGGTTTCTCTACCGAAATGCTTGGTTTCTCTACCGAAATGCTTGGTTTCTCTACCGAAATGCTTGGTTTCTCTACCGAAATGCTTGGTTTCTCTACCGAAATGCTTGGTTTCTCTACCGAAATGCTTGGTTTCTCTACCGAAATGCTTGGTTTCTCTACCGAAATGCTTGGTTAGCCCCATCCCTCACACAAACAAGTCAACAAAGAGGCATCTTTGGATTGAGGAGTGCTGGTTTCGAAACAACTGGTTTGAAGCTCAAAGTAGAGCTGGTGTTAGCTCAGAGCAGAGCTGCTGTTAGCTCAGAGCAGAGCTGCTGTTAGCTCAAAGTAGAGCTGCTGTTAGCTCAAAGTAGAGCTGCGGTTAGCTCAAAGTAGAGCTGCGGTTAGCTCAAAGTAGAGCTGCGGTTAGCTCAAAGTAGAGCTGCTGTTAGCTCAAAGTAGAGCTGCGATTAGCTCAAAGTAGAGCTGCTGTTAGCTCAAAGTAGAGCTGCTGTTAGCTCAAAGTAGAGCTGCTGTTAGCTCAAGGTAGAGCTGCTGTTAGCTCAAAGTAGAGCTGCTGTTAGCTCAAAGTAGAGCTGCGGTTAGCTCAAAGTAGAGCTGCTGTTAGCTCAAAGTAGAGCTGCGGTTAGCTCAAAGTAGAGCTGCTGTTAGCTCAAAGTAGAGCTGCTGTTAGCTCAAAGTAGAGCTGCTGTTAGCTCAACGTAGAGCTGCAATGCTAAATGGATGTAATATAGCGCAAGGCAGAGCCGCAGCAAATAGCTAGATAACACCAGTTGTGAGAGTGGACCCATGAAACCAGCACTCCGTTAGCTAAGCACTATTGACGCACAGCAAGGGTCAATTAATGTCAGCACAGGCAAGCATTGCGCAGCTAGAGTTCAGTAGCTCATTACTCACCCGAGTTGGGGATCATGGCATCCATGGCACGGCAGCAAGCCGGGACGATAGCTGGCGCTATGCGCTTGTTGTAGTCTGGATGTAGCGTAGACACGCATCGCTCTTTCCACTGACCTGCCACTCGGAAGAAGGAGTCGGGAGCACTAGCCATAGCAGCGGTGGTGGCTGCACCAATGTGGACCAAATGCCCGGAGTAGTTCGACTGGGATGGTACACCGGCCGCAGCGACAAGAGACCATACTGTTACTGTGAATGACTGCCTGGTCGGCTGCTGTCTGTTCGAGAATACGAACAAGAGTTGCTCCGGTCCCTCGCGACGAGTGACAGATGGGTAGCTAACAATGGCACGGGCCGGGCAGTACGGCGGTACAGACGGGCCAATGTCACTAGTAACGCCTTTACCGAATGGGTCCGTCTTGGATGAAAGCAGGAAGAGTTGCAGGCGTCCGTCACCAGGGGAGCTAGTACAGCCCCGTGTGATGCCATTAGTGAATTCAGCGCACCGAAGAAATCCAAAGAAGCAGCATGGCGGCTTGGTAGAGCAGCTTGTCATGGCCATTCAGGATACTACTTTTCCAGCGTGCATCCGTCAGGTGTCGTAGGATTGGCATAGTTATAGGAAGGCGAGGGGTGAGTGCAGCCGTACCATGGCATCGCTGGATGCCCTTCAACGCCCTCTTCAGAAGCCACGCATCTACTAAGGGGCCGGCAAACCCATTCTCAAGGTGGGCTTTATGCACCGCACTCGCATACACAGATACAGTTCAGGGCACGCTGATCATAGTTCACGCATGAATGTGTGTCCAGGAACGATGACTCGGGCAGCAAAAGTGAGCTTCCCCAGGAGGGACTCGAGTTGACGCTGGCCGATGCTGCGCTCGCTGATAGTAGCCATGAGTGGCGCACGGATCTCGGACAGCTTGTCCTCTGGTAGCCGAGCTTCGTGGCGCTCGCAGTCTAGGACAATACCAAGGAAGGTCAATGATGGTGATGGCCCTTCGAGCTGGGATGGAGCAAAGAGGAGTGCCGAGATACGTGAATGCCCGGAGGGGGATGGTGAGTTGCTGGTTGGCTGCAGCCAA